ATGGAGGTAGAGGTGCTAGAGGTGGAGTTCAGGCCGCTAGATGTAGAGGCCAGCCATCAGGAGGCCATCCTAGAGATGTGATTCAGACTGGTGGGGCCTAGCCCCGATGTTATGCTCTTCCAACCAGGCCTGAGGCTGAGGCTTCCGATGCAGTCATCACAGGTACTTTCTGGTTTGTAGTAGGGATGCTTCAGTGCTATTTGATCCAGGGTCTACATACTCTTATGTGTCACTTAAGCATGCCTTACTTTCATAATCCTTGCAATGACATGCTTTCATCCTGCTTGAATTCTGCTGCCAGTCAATATGATTCTCACTAGCATCCACACTTAACATAATCTGAATCTTTTCTTTATCAAGAGTATGTGCATACTAAACCTGCAAACTTGTTTTGTTAATGTGTGATTGTTTATGCACTAGATGTTGTTCTTCGGAATCTTTGCTGGGTCTGCTTTCAAAACCTAAAGCTTGTCTAATTATTTGCTCTATGTGCTCAACTTATACTCTTCAATTTTGTCCTTCAACTGTTGTCTAGTCCCTCTCATTATCACTTATGTTATTCTGACCTCCCTAGTGTAAGCACTGTTCGGGGTCCGATTGAGACTCTTGTTAACTCTGACACATTAGGACTTGGTCCTCAGTCTATCCCTGAATCTCTTCTGTTAACCTCCCTAGTGTGAGCACTGCCCTGGGTTCTTGAAGCCCTTGGGAACTTTGACACATTAGGGTCCAAGTTTCTTTGCCATATTTGTCTTAATTGCTCAGTTTTGTCCCACTTCATTTGCTGAATAAGCCAATGGGCTTGTGTACATGGCTGTATTTCCGATGGTTACTGGTTTGGCTACGGAAACTGTCTTCTGAGCTATTGTGAGCTATGTGAAGGCCTGGCTGGGCTGGGTGTATCTTTGGGCCTGCTGTAGGCTCTCTATAGTTATTTATCTTTGTAATTTATTCCTATTCATTCGGGTCTGTAATAATTATTGTAATAACATTTGGGGTATTAGTAAAATTGGGAAATTGAGCTTATTTAATATTTCATGAAACGGGTAGAAATCCTGCCTATAGGTGTTAATTTGCTCAAATATATTCTGCCCCCTACGTGTTTGATAGATGACTTGCCTACAGGTGTTTTAATTTGTTTAATACATTCTGCCTCCACCTGCTTGTTAGAAATCATGTCTGTAAGACATAAAAATGATCAATCCTCTAATTGCAGCATGTTCACATAGACACCATGCCTATAGGATTGTATTTATTCTAAAAATACCTGTTCTTTGCATGTTCACATAGACACCATGCCTATAGGATTGCATTTATTCACAAATACATGTTCTTTACATGTTCACATAAACATCACGCATATAGGATTGCATTTATTCACAAATACATGTTCTTTGCAATGTTCACGTAGATATCACGCCTATAGGAGCATAATCAGATGCCATTTCTGTCATTCTACTATACTGTCACCTTCCTAGAAAGCATGCCTATAAGGATAAAAAATGTTAATCAATATAATTGTCAATTGCTAGAAATCCTGCCTATAGGATGTTCTATTGATACTGCTAACCTTAGACCTTCAAACAACCACATAATCACTCTACCACACACCTAATCCATCAAATTACAGTTGTCTTTGTAATGCTGGAATCCAGAATCATTTAGCAATCATGTCTATAGGATCAATAACTCATAACCTTGGTCTCAGTAATGAATATGTGATATCAGATCCCCTAAACTGTGCAGAAATCACGTCTATTTTTACATCTGAAACTGTTGTATCTATTAAAATCCAAAATTATTTAGAGATCATACCTATAGGATTCAATAGTCTTAATTAGATTGAAATCTGCAACTGTCAAATGCCCAATGTGTTTGCGTGCATTCGTTGTCAACGTATGGAGGCTGACTTGAGCCCTTAATTGCTATTATATGAAGTCCAACTTGTTTTTCTTGTCGATTAGTTTTATCATTTTGAGCAGCCTAAGTGAAGTCTAGAACTACCTAAATAGAGGTCCAAAGCCTCCTGGACCATAGGCATGGGACGGGTAGTGCACACATAGGGTACGGTTTAGAATCAACTAGTACGCTTCATTTAACAACTTAAAGATAGTAATCGGATAGCAGGAGATGATAGTCTGTGTTCGCTAAATAATATGAGTAACACCCCATCTTGATGGAGTTACGAAGTATTATTTATGTTGCACGGGGTGATCCTTTAGGCTAAATATTTTAGGAAACCCCCCCCCCTCCCCCTACTTGTCTTACAATCGTATTG